TGCTGCTGAAAGCAGGTTTCTGGTTTCTTTACCTTCTGTATTTGAAACAGTGTTGCGATCCTGCTGGCTGAAGCCCGACGGACTAAAGCAGGTTTCTGGGGTTTTGTTTAGCTTCTATATTTGTAACATAGTTGCTTAGAGTTGCAGCTCAGAGGCCTGCAGCAGCAGGCGGGGAACACTGGTTTTCTCCGTCACTGAAGCTAGCAAGCCTCATGTTCACTTTAAGCTGCCTGGTTGCCGGCCGCCATCTTGGCTGGCAGTTAATTTGCATATCGCCCTGATTAGCCAATGGGAAGGGTAGCGGTCGTACGCCAATTACCATGTTTCTCTTTTATTAGATAGGATAGGATGTGTAAAGCTCTTAATAATAGGAGTACTGCATGTTAGCTGTTATTATCTGTGTCTCATTTCATTCTCTTTAAAACTAAAGTTTTGGGAAAAATTATCTGAAAATAATTTTATTTCCTCACCTCACACTCTTCAACACCTCACAGTCTGATTTTGATTCCTACTTTTTCCAAGATCCCTATCTCCCTCTTATTAAATCCTGGAGATAATTTGCTTTCTATATCTTTTTGATCTTTTGTTTACATTTGATTTCACTGACCACTTCTTCCCTTTTAAAACATACGCTCTCTGTGGCTTTTACCTGATTTTTTTTCAAATTCTTCTCCATTGTGTTTGCCTTTTACTCTGCCTGTTTCTTGAATAGTATAGTTTGACAACTAATGTTCTATAACTGAAAGGGTTGTGTTTGGGGAAGGGAGTATATAACTTCCTTCTTTAAAGATTGGGTAATCTATACTGTTAGCGTATTCAGAGGGATTATATTTGTGTAGTGAAAGGTAATGAATGGCAAGGTTTGGAGCCTACCAATTTTTAATGTCTGATGGAAAAATTTCCCTTCCCTCAGGGTGTTAGTAAAGCTTTTAGGGCAATTACACATTTACCTTGAAGCTGAGAATCAGACTCAACAGGAGTCACTTACCATTTGAGTTTCTACCACATCTCTCACCAGAGAGTTCCTTTGTCCTCATATCCACTCTTATTGTTGGTTAAGGATCAAAGTCAAGACTTCTCATAAAGATTGTAAATGAGGTATAGGGCTTAAGTGAGTGGATTGGAAAACTGGATGGCTTGGGATCAAATTTAGTCTCTAACTTTTACTAACTTTGTGAATTTCAGCAAGTTATTTGACTTCTGTGCTCCAGTTTTTTCATCTGTAAAATGGGAACAGTAATACTAATAACTTTCAGACCTGTTATGAAGAATATGAGTCAATGTATGTGAAACATTTAGTGTGTAGTGTAAACTGTTATTATGATCATGAGTATATTTAATGTCTTTAAAGGAGACACACTTAATGAAGTTTAAATTTAGTAAGTGATTTCTTGGCCCCTTATATATTTTACTTATATATTTAACAGAACTCCTATAATGCTGTTCATATGCCAGGTAATATTCTAAGCATGTTAAAAATAAAAATTATTAATTTTAATAACAATTATATAAGGTGGATTCTGTTAGAATTCCCATTTTACATGAGAGAAAACTGAGACACATGTAGGTTGAGCAACTTGCCTAAGGTCACATAGCTAGTAGGTCTGCTTTTATAACTAATACATTATGCTGTCTCTTCCATTTCTAGTCAGTGTCCCTCTCTCTCTCTCTCTCGTATTCAATTCACTGTCCTACTCACTGGCCTGGCCAGAACTTTATTGTTGTCACCCCAAATCATTGACAAATTGGACATTAGATGGACATGGTCCATGTTTGCCCAAATATGAAGCAGATGTTTTACATTATTTGTCAGTGGTCTATTGATGGGAGCTGAAAGGATACACCTTTTTCCTCAAGTCCACTGAGATGGACATCCAGCAGCTGTGCATACCAAGCATCAAATTACAGTAGCATTTTTAGTCATTGTAACAACCACAAATACTCCTACATATATTTAGATACCTTCTAGGGATGTGGTATATCCTTCAGTAAGAATCACTTTTTCTAACCAATAACCAGATAGTGGAATACTAGATAGAGAAAGACAAAGAATAGAGATATATACATGAGGCCATTTTATTCAACTTTCTCTACAATAGTTATTGGAATATTGCCCAATTAAATATTTTCTTATGGCTCTAATATAGCAAAGCTTGTTTTTGTTTTTATTTTTTTGTCAGAAGATAATTATTAGTGGAATATAAAAATATGGTGGAGATACCAAATTCATAAAGGGAAAAAAGGAAACAAAATTGTAAAATAAATGATAAATTTTAAAAAGCAATAATGTAAAATAAATATTTTAAAATAATAAATTTTTAAAAGTAAAAGTCAAATATATTCTACCCTAACTATGAATGGAGTGAATTCTCTCATTACAAAACAGACTTTCAAATTGGAGTGAAAAACAAAAGCTAGCTACAGTCTTTATAATTT